GATGCACAACCAACCGAGAGAACCGCAGCCTTATGAGGATTGTCAAGCAAAATCGATTCCTAGAGCATTTTGTCACATTTAACATTTCTGTCACATACTTGAGGTATTCGGCCGATCATAACGCACTGGATAGTTGGCCAATCAGAGCACACCTCGCTTTTCAGGCCGATGAGCTTTGTAAAAATCGACGGGTTTCAGAAAGGCGGGGCATACAGGAGAAACAATAATGTACAGTATGTGGAAAATAATGTGTTTTTTTAACCTTAAACCGCATAAACACATTTCATTACACCAAATACACAAAATAATGTTCTTTTTAGCAACATCATATGACCCCTTTAAATAATTATTATAATTATTAAATAAATCAATTATTATTATGATACAAATAAAAAGTCTTAATATGTTGGCATACCTAGAAGCCAGGGAGCACAGGAGTCCATGATGCCATCTTTAGCAGACTTCAGTATGGACTCAGGCAGAGGGATGGAGTGACGCACCATGGCACCGTAGAGCCCGTATTCAGCCATCACGCTGCTACGACCCCAACACTTCTCCCGCTTTCTCCACTTGGCCCTCCGATTTTGGAACCACACCTGCATATAGTTTATTAATGGTCAAATATAGTCTCTTTGGGATATTTGAGTCGGAATTACAGACTCACTTTCATATGGAAAAGTAAAAGGTAGCTATATCAATCTGTTTAACATTGGTGGTGTGTGTGTGTGTGTGTGTGCGTGCATGTTTCACTGAAGAAAGATAATCATACAGGTTTCGAGCTAATCAAACAGCTTGCAACCTGCAAATATAGAAAAATGTGTGCCAATGAAAAGATATATGAGTATCTTTGACTATCACCTCTCATTGGCTAATTGGAGCCATATGTAGTAGGCTACTGTTGTAGCTATTATCGAGCGAACAATTTAAGCAGGCAGGCATGATAGTGTCCATTTGAGCCAAACGACGCGACGCCTGCGGTTGAGTTGTGTCATGACGCGGCGCGAGCGCAGGTTGATCGGCTCCTCTCCTCTCCCCGCTAAACCAGCACTTATTGCCCCTCACTCATTCTAGCTGCAGAGCTGACGGAGGCATGATGCCATCTTTAGCAGACTTCAGTATGGACTCAGGCAGAGGGATGGAGTGACGCACCATGGCACCGTAGAGCCCGTATTCAGCCATCACGCTGCTACGACCCCAACACTTCTCCCGCTTTCTCCACTTGGCCCTCCGATTTTGGAACCACACCTGCATATAGTTTATTAATGGTCAAATATAGTCTCTTTGGGATATCTGAGTCGGAATTACAGACTCACTTTCATATGGAAAAGTAAAAGGTAGCTATATCAATCTGTTTAACATTGGTGGTGTGTGTGTGTGTGTGTGTGCGTGCATGTTTCACTGAAGAAAGATAATCATACAGGTTTCGAGCTAATCAAACAGCTTGCAACCTGCAAATATAGAAAAATGTGTGCCAATGAAAAGATATATGAGTATCTTTGACTATCACCTCTCATTGGCTAATTGGAGCCATATGTAGTAGGCTACTGTTGTAGCTATTATCGAGCGAACAATTTAAGCAGGCAGGCATGATAGTGTCCATTTGAGCTAAACGACGCGACGCCTGCGGTTGAGTTGTGTCATGACGCGGCGCGAGCGCAGGTTGATCGGCTCCTCTCCTCTCCTCTCCCCGCTAAACCAGCACTTCTTGCCCCTCACTCATTCTAGCTGCAGAGCTGACGGAGGAGAGAAGGAGGGGCTCCCGGGTCCAGAGAGGCCAGACATTGGATAAGAAATTATCAAAACCATTTTCCAATCTTTCTGGTAATGCCGATGATGATAGCCCTCATTTCATGCAAGATACTTTTTGAGGAGAAATTGGTTATCGGGCGCTCAAAAGAAAGCGGGTGGAGACAGTGATGAGAGACGACCCCAAGGGCACGAACAAGCTGATTGAAAAATAAGTTAATTTCGAGCCCAATCGATGGTGGACAGGCGGGCAAATATCACGGGAAATTAAACGAGCAGGACCCCAGAGAGCAGCGCCATTGACCCGTGCTAATAAATTCAATGTAGTTATTTCATTTGAACTCCCCACATCTCGCCACATCCCTTCCCCTGGAACACGGCAAGCTTTTCTCATTTAACTAATTACACTCGATGAGAAAATTAGATGTTAATTTTACTTTGGATTGAAATAGAATTATTTATTTATTTCCTTATTATTTATTCGCCGAGAGGCACCGTAATGAGAAGGAAATTAAAAGGCGTGCCAGCAGATGGATGGTTCAGGTCACACAGTAATCTTCTTCTGCCTTGATTGCTTGATTAGGTCGTTAGCGCCTTTCTCTCTCGCGCGCGCACTCAGACATAATACACACACACACACACACACTGAGAGCAAATTGTTTCACATCTAACTGAGGCTGATGAGATATTATCTGTCCGAGTGGGATGCTGCACTTGACCGATAAGTGAATTGTACAATGACTTTTAGGATGGTCGACTATGTTAAAGGTTTTTTGGTGTTTTTATAAACTGATTAAACGTAGGCCCTATTCCAAATTATTAGGCCTAAATTAAATATTAAAGGTAATTTCGAGGCGCTATTTAGGTTAGTCGCGCATTAGACTCGCAGCGCAAATGTGTAATTTGGCACCATTATATCTCATAGGCCTACATCTGTTATCTAAGACTAAGTTATTTGGAATATGTAGCCTACATTTATAATAAAGTGATACATGATGCTAGTATTTGCCATGCTTTATAGACTGAACTCACGAACTATTCGCAAAGAAAATCGCGAGCAGAGTTTATAGCGATTAGCCTATTTTGTGATCGCTACAGGCGAAAATACTCGTTTTGACAAACTTGTAGGATCTAACTTTTGCTATTACTGAAACGTTTGATAGCCTAACCTTGTGGAAACTTGCTTACGTATGAAAATAAATATTAACTTATTTAAAAATCCATAATTAGCGGCATAGGCTAATTATAGAGGGCTCTAACTCCCATAATTCGCACCACTGATATTCATCTGATAACCTATTCACCTTCTGCAGGTGACTTCAGGAAATTAGCCTGACTAACCCTTAACCCACAAACCACTAACCGACTAAATTAATCCAAGACACTTCACCATTTCCTTTTTTCGCCATTTCCTCAGATCACCACACTGACCACTGAGAACCTATAGGCGCCCTTTCTATAAAAGGTCAGTTCTCTGAGGAACCAACAAGTTCCGGCACGATCTCAACAATGGGCCACGCGGTACAGAGGAACGGTTTTGAGGCACTTCAAAGTTCCTTGAGTAGGTCCACATATCTGAGCATAGCCTATCTGAGGTAGGTTCTGCGAAGGCATCTGAGAAACCTCAACTGGTGCTTCATTTTTTCATAAGAGATAGGAATGAGGTCCGATGTGGCAGAGTTTTTTCGTCTGGCATATTAGGCTCAGAGAAGAGACCCATACCAACCCAAACTGGATTTATTTTATTGCAGTTTTTTTTATTAGGCTATTAGTCCTGTTCGATTTCCCCCCTTTTTTGGTCTACATTTTTAATTGTAAATAATTTAAAACATGCTGATAACTGCCTATTAGTCATGTTGATGTGAAAACAGGAAATGCACCAAAGCAAAAAAATAAAAGAATAAAACAAAGAAACGAAGATAGAAAAAGCTAACGTAATTCGAGGAATTATACAGGGCAAGTCTTAATGTAAAAACAAAATATAATAAAGACCAAAAATATTTTAACTTATTTTGTACATCAATAAATAGCCTACACGTCAAATAACATGTAGGCTAACAGAAAAAGGATAATTGAATACAGGCGCATATTGCGAAATTATTAGTGTAGGCTTTTTATTTAATAAATATAAAGAGTGGTCGAAGAGAGCACATTGTCGTTCTCTTATATTCTCATTTAATTCAAAAGGCGAGTGTAAATAGTTCAGTGTTTGCTCTCTACCTGTATTCTGTCCTCGGGCAGCTCGGTTTTCATGGCCAGCATTTCTCTGGCGTACACATCCGGATAATGAGCCTCGTTAAATGCCTTCTCCAGTTCTTCCAGCTGGTAAGATGTAAATATTGTTCTACAAAAGAACAACATTCAGTTGTCTTAGGAAATCAATATTAGAAACATAACGCATAAATTGTATTTCGATAACGACTAAAATCGAATGGACTATCCGCAAATGTCGAGGTCAGTAGCTACAAGAGATATGTTTTCTTTCAGGTTTTAAAATATAAAATACAAATGTGTCTATTTCATTTTATTATTTTCATTTTATTCTTATTATTTCATTTTATTTTTAAATTTGTAGACCTGAACATGTCAAACGCTGAAAATCATAATGTAGGCCTGTGTTTCTAAATTTAACAAAATAATCCAAATGCCTCTTAAAATATAATAATATAAAAATACAAATTACAACGACAATTATTATTATTATTATTATTATTATTATTATAAAGAAAAAATATATATTTTGACTGCCTTTTAAAACCTATGAACCTTTAACTCATTCCGAAAAAACGAATTGGCCCTTAAAAAGAGGACAGGGATCTTGGGCATCCACAGTTAGTCTGTTCCTCAAATGTTATTTTCCAGTTGATTTCAAACTGGCCATGATTGCCAAACCATCGTTACACGTTCCTTTTGTTGTTTCGGCTGTTTAATAAAATAATTATAGATCACTGTCGTTTTACTGTCATTTTACATTCATTTTATTAGCGTTAAGCCTACCTGTGTCGTCGCTTTTTTCTCTTCTTGCTCTGGCTCAGTGAAGATTTTGATATTTTCCTTTCACTTGAACAGACATCCTCTGAATCTGTAACATCGGGGGAAATGTTATTTAAAATGGCTGATGTAAAAAAAAATTGAAATATTTTATGTTTTGCAACAGTTAGCCCTTTAATTTTAAAAGCAAAATTGACGTTTTGACGATGATAGTCACGTAGGGTTTGGAGGAAAATTATCACAATTTAACATAAATAATACAATTTGCAACAGGCAACAGATTTCCATAAAAATAGAAACAATAATATAGAACAGAAGATAAACAAGAATAATAGATTAAGGCCTTTTGTTAACAAAAAAACAACAACGAGAAATTGGACCAATTGTCTTACACAAGGACAAACCCCGAGCAGGCCTTGAACATGAATTTCACCTGAGCTTGCAGACTGGTTCGTTTCCAGCGGTCCCACTGTCCTGTTGAGCGGCTGCAGATGGACGTTCTGCGCGTCTGACAGCACCTCAAGAAACGCGGGCTGGCTGTAGAACGATGGAATACCTCCAGGGCCCATTAATCCCATCCCCATCCCGATCCCGACACCAACACCAACACCAGCTGGACCGAGCATCGACCTGCTGGCTAGAAGGTGCGCCCCGGCAGGGAACGAGTCCAGTGTGCTCCGCGGAGCCGAGGACGACTCTTTATTTAGTCCCAGGATCTCCTGGATGCCGAAGCCCGTGCATTTGGGCGGATGTGTGGTGCTGCTCTTTGACAGATGTGGATTGTTATTTCTCCCGTTCTCAGCGGTACACACTGATTTTGATTTGTTCAAACTTTCCGACAAAACAGCCCCATCCTTTCCCGTCATGATGCCTCTGAGACTATTCCCTTCTTCACATACGAGTCGGTCCCTTGTGCACAGGCATCCACGGCGCAATACGCATGATCCCGATAGAAATTCTCCTTTTATCCAACAGGTCCATCCCAACAAGGGTCAAAACTCAACAGCCAATCAGCGGCGAGGAAGTGATTTAGAATTCCAGAGGATACAGGATGCTGCTCTGCCTGTTTTTATGCATCATGTCATTTCATTCACATCACATTTTGCTTGCAATTGTGTTAATCAGACATTTAACCAAAATTAGCAAATAAAATGAGTTCACTTCGAAATTAAATTTCGAATTAAATTTACTCAAATGAAGTAATAATAATTGTCGATGTTTTCGGTTTTTAGGCTTCAACATTTTAAACGTGATAGGTCTATATAAATGACTTTAGGAATCAATTTTTGCGTGTAGCCTATCTACATGGTAAAATAAAAGGAAAATGTCTGAAATAGAAAAGGGCATCTGGAGTAATGTCGTCAGCAATGGCAGAATATATATATATATATATATATATTGTGAGGCAGCATCGCCTGATACACCAAATCATAATGAATAAAAATAACCTACTATTACAAAAACGAATTATTATTATTATTTTTAATAAATAATCTGTCTTATAAAACTAATAAATAACTCAATCATATATGATCGAATGTTTGTCACTGAAATAGATTGCAGCTATTTTAAAGAATTCCTGTTGGGTGTTGAATGATTCAGCAGATCATGCTACAGAACCTGTGAGGACTTATAATTCTTGTATCGCTATATTCCTCTTTCGCAAAAGCTAAAACCATTTTTAGGCTTAAAATAAAAGGCTTTGATCATAAGTGCAAGGCTCTAAAGGAGAAGATAAATGGGTCATTCAAATTAGGATGTCTGAGATTATAAAAACACGTGTCAAGTTCTTAGAATATTTCCAAATGAAATTGACAAAGTTTATAATGGCTATTCCATTTGATCTAAACAAAACATGCATTTTTCATAAAAAAAAAAGAAAAAAGGGCCACAATATTGAATTTCCAAGTTATTATTATTATAACATTAAGACGAAATTGCTTTACTGTTTATTTTAAGATATAGTGGCAACATTTCATTTTCAAGAATCTCAGCTTCTTAATTTTAATTAAATAAATAAATAAATCAGAAAACGAAAAAACGGGTCTATTTATGTCATAAATCACCGTAGCTATCATCACCGTAAAATTCTTAAAAGAAATTCGGAGAAATACAAATAAGTTTTTATGTTTCATTTTAAAGGGTAAAGGTCATTTATGGGGGAAAGTCCAGGTAAATTTGTATGTTTTACATTATTCTTACACTTTCAGAAGAACTGTTGCAACAGTTGTACCCATTTGAACAGACCGCAAAATATAGCTTATTGTAATTACATCCAAGATTCTTTAATACACCGAGGTCTAATCAGCTATTACTAAATTACAGTGGGATTTTGATTCGTTTTGCAGATAATTTGTGGCACAATTTGGACATCTGGACAGATAATTACTGGGAGATAATTTATGGAAATGAGCAGCGAGCCGTTGATGGAGACAGAGATAACACCAATCTTCTCAAAGTGCCATGTGCTGATGCATAAATAAACGTCATGATTCATACGACACCAGCAGAACGTCAGACGCGTGGCGTCAGACCCGAGCGTGCGCTCCCGCGAGACAGCGCCTGATCTGTGGCTTTTCTGGCTAATTAGCAGCCACACCGAACACTTGGAGATGTGTTTTTGCTGAAGTGGCCTGATAATAACCCTACCCCGAATATTACTAATAAAGGTGCACAGTAATCCTGTTTGCACCGTTTAAAACACAGAAAAAACATGTGATTTGTAGCCTTATGGGACATTATTCAATTACCCATCCATGCTAATTCTTTGTTGGCCTGGCTCCATAGCAATTACATGAGATGATCATCAAAACTGGCAGGCACACAAAAGTAAAGTTTAATCACATATAGGAATATAGCAAACGAGTGATCTGCAAACTTAGACAACAAATGCGTAAGCAGTGCAAGAGAATAAAACTTCACGCAAGAGTTTCCGCGTTGCCTCAAAGCATTAAACCCCGCGCCGCTGAGCAAAATATTACAGCTTCAATTACATAGGCACCAGTTGAAACTAATTAGAAGCCATTAAGTGGAAATTTCATTAAGGGTAATGAAGAAATCAATGTTTTCAAGATATGCTAATGACACATCACCCGGTCTAGATAAACCCATCTATTCACAAGGCTACAGCACTCTGTCAAAGCAGCCTGTCAATTACAAACTGCTTCCTGCCCTCTCGTAGCCATCACTTCTGCTGTAATCTGTGCCTGGCTTTGTTGTTTATCGTGAGAAGAAAAAAACCCACTCTCCCTTCACGGCTTTTAATAATCCATCTACATATGAAAATGACTGCACCCTGATTTACATGCATAAGAGGACAAACTAATAAGGCTGTAGATTAAGGAAAGATTTAGCTCAGTCATTCGTGTAGATTGGGTGGCCTATCAAAGACTGGAAGATCTGATGGTGGCAGATTAAAAGGCAAACAGCTGTTGCAAAATTTGTTTTGCCCCTCTCTGAATATTCGGTCTCTTGTGGGCCTGTTGCCTACTTGCTTTAAGTGAAATCCGCCATACAAACACAAAGCAAGCAGTTGAGATACTGAAAAAGCGATTGCGTTAGTCAAACAGATGGATGGCAAATTACACCGCTGCCTTGACCTCTACAAAAAATATGGGAGACAACCCTTGTGTACTTTTTCAAAGCTGCTAAAATGAGAGTTTGTCCAAACTTGTAACAATTATAGCGTAATGTGATGAATACAAATAAAGACCTCTCTTATATTGAAATGCTTGACTGCTATTTGTCTTTGCGAAGAACTTTCGATGCTGGAAGGTCACCGCAAGGTAATGAGCTTTGGGATGGGGCTGTATTATAGGGACATTGTATTGCATTAGTCTGGCCTCTGCACAGATTGCTGGTGCTTGATCTTCTCATGCCAGGCAATCTAAATGAAGAATCACTTGTGCTCTTCTGCTCATAATTCTGTATTTGCAATGTATTGGAAGTGATAAATTGTTTTTAATGTTGCATTTTGCTTTTGTACACCAAGCACACACACCATCTGCAGCATAGAGGCGTGTCTCCAAACTAAACCCCCAAAGCCCCACTCATGTTCCCCTTCATCCAGAACCTCTGATATTATACTGGCTATTGTTTTGTATTAATTGAATTAATGTGACCTTTATTACGATCATTCATTTTCAAACTGAAAACAATCAATACTGTGCCCGAAAAGACTTATCAAGTTGCTTTCCCTCTCTTTTAATGACATATCTGAGTTTGTTAAACGTTTTCATGGGGCAATTATAGTGAGTCATTTTTTAACAAGACCTAACAGAAAATATATTAATAAATGAAGTACAGTTTAGTCATAATTTCCGTTTTATAAACTACCATTCAAAAGTTTTGAGTCAGTAAGAATTTTAAAAAGAAATCAATACTTTCATTCAGTGAAGATGCATTAAATTGAACAAAAGTGACAGTAAAGGCATTCATAAAGTCACAAAAGATTTCTATTCCAAATAAATACCGTTCTTTTGAACTCTCTATTCATCAAAGAATCCTGAAAAAAGATATCAGTTTCCATAAAAATGTAGCAGTAACTATTTTCAACATCGAAATAAAACTAAGAAATGTTTCTTGAGCACCAAATCAGAATTACTCAGATTTCGAAAGGATCTTGTGACACTGAAGACTGGATTAATGACTGATGAAAATTCAGCTTTGACATCACAGGAATAAATTACATTTTGAAATATATTAACATAGAAAACTTTGTTCAAATTGTGATATTTTACAAGATACTACTGTATTTTTGATCAGCATAAGAGACGTCTTTCAAAAGCATTGAAAAATCCTTTGAAAGGTAGTATACACTGTAAAAAAAAATCAGTAATATTTACGGTAAAAAAACGGCAGCTGTGGTTGCCGGAATTTTACCGTAAAAAATACGGTAGCAACGTTTTAGGTTTTAACTTAAATTTACAGTTACGCAGGGAATTCTGGGAATGTCATTGTTATTCACTGTAAATTATACAGTCTTTTTCACTTCCAAAAATGGTATACTACCGTAAAATTAATGTCCAATACATGTAATGTCCAATACAGTTTTTCACCGTATATAGTAGGGGAATTTACCGTTAACCATTTAACAGGTTTTTACTGTAGCATTTTTACAGTCTTTTACCGTTAAATTCACGGTCATTTTTTACAGTGTAGGTTTAAAGAAATATTCCAGGTTCAATACAAGTTAAGCTCAATCGAGAGCACTTGTGGCATAATGTTGATTACAATTTATCATCCCTCCTTTTCTTTAAAAACAACAAAACTTACAGTGAGGCACTTAATGGAAGTGAATGGGGCAAACGCTTAATTAAATAACATTAAAATACAAACTGTTCAAAAGTAAAGCCAAAGTAAAGCATTTGTTAATGATTTTAGTGTGGACAAAATCACGAACTAACCTTTTCTGCGTAAAGTTGTACCCAATTTTACAACTTCATTGCCATGACAACACAATGCCATAAATCCTAAAGCAACAGTAAAAATGCCAAAACAACTTTACACCTCAAATAATAAACAAGTTTTACCTAAATAATTAATATAGGTGCTTTTATAAAATTATAAGCTTTACATTTTCATTTTTATATACTCCAAAAGTTGGCCTCATTCACTTCCATTGTATCAGCGTAACCTAATTATTTTTTTGTGGTAACCAACATTGTCACAAGTGCTGTCGACTGAGCTTAACTTATATTGAACCCAGAATGTTCTTTTAACAAAGCAAAATCAAATTACAATATATTTTGAAAGGTCAAGAAACCTGTCTTGAATGAAACTAAAGTGACGGACTGTGAGGTGTTTTAAAGTTACTGCTAAGGCTGGGAAACTCCTTTCCCTGAGACTAAGGATTTTCAGAGTGGATACTGAGGACAGCAGTCTGATAATGGCAAACACCTTGTGCGGAGTAGGTGGAAAAAATGGAAACTAGAGTTCTTTCCCTCACAAACCACCAAGGGTGCGATGACCCCCTGATGCAGAGAGAGTTTGCTAGCTCCAGTTTTCTCATACAGCTCCCATAATAGCGTGTTTGGAAGCTGCCTGCCGGCATTGC